CCCCAAAACCCCAAAACCCCAAAACCCCGAAAGGAAAATATAATAATTACAGCTGAGTGTTAAGAATAAATGAATGATTTTAAAATACTTAAGGAATTAATTATTAGGGAAAAACCAAAATTTATTAAAATGAAAAAATTAAGTTATTTACTCCTATCAGATTTACTGATATCAATATATATTTGTAATCGAGTGATTAATTTTTTTCATTCAGTATCATTTCTCATATCAGTATCACTCTATTTTTGATTTATTTGAACATTTTATTGCTGATTTGTCTCACTATTTTGATATTGAGAATAGCTCTAGGATTAACTATTTTAACAACTATCCATTGAAACATCGGATTTGGGTCTTTTACTATAAGTTACTTATTTTTCTAGTTCACTAAATGACTCTAGCCTATCATCTGAGGTCTGCCCAGTAACAGAGTTGATCATTACTCCACCTTTCACAAATTCATTTTGATCCATTAGGAAAGATTTTATGCTGTCGCCATTGTTACTTTAATTTTGATTCTATTACTTATTTGGGTCCCCTCCTATAAAATCGGTACTTAATTCAAATTATATCAAATTTCTGCTAGAGTTGTTTGAGTTATTGGCTCTATTAAAAACCCTTGATAATGGAGAAAGGGCCGAGCCAGCAGGACTAGACGTTCCACTACTATTCGCAGAATTTGCATCTTTTTAGGGTGATTATATCCCTCTATCTTTTTATTATTGTTTATACTTGGTAAGATTATTTCCGAATAGTCCCATATCATTAATGTCATCATCCTCTTCTTCACTTGATGAGTATTCTCCATTAGAACTTCTTCTTTTCTTAAGGAGACTGGGAAAGTTTGCTCCATAATTTCCTGCGCTATTGTTTGAGTGTTAATTCCTTTCTAGATCTTACTTTCGCTTCATATACATCTCTTAATTATACTTTTCATCGTCTTCAATCCCAACTTTGAAAGAATTTGATCTCTCTCCAAAATTTATCAAATCTTCATCTTGCTTTCTTAGATTTTCTCTTTGCATATAGGTATAGTTAGCCCCTATTCTGAAAGCTTTTTATCCTGAAACTGATTTTCCTAGCTTCTCATCATACTATTCTACAAAGCCTCTGAAGTACACTTCATATTTAGGGACTTTGAACAAAGTATCAGAGTAGTTAGATAAGAGATGAGCAGCAATTTTTCTATTGTTTTCTTTGGTTAAATAGTCAAAAAGTTCAAGAATAGTACTGTGTAGCATATTACTTTTGTTGGGGTTTTCAAGAAAAATGTCAACAACTGTTTTAAGCAAAGTTTTTTTCATCAAATACATAACAAAGGCATCGTCCTTTACTTTAATCAAGGCCTTATAAAATTTAATTATCCACAGATTTAGAAGTTTAGATCTGAATCGCGTCAATCTTGATATCTTCTCAATAACCTCTGCTTGAACTGCGAATATTCTAAATCTAAAGGCATGTTCGGAAGCACATTTAATGAATATTTGTATAACTAAAGATCTACTGTATTCTAAAGACCTATTATACTCTAAAGATTGATTATAGGACTCAAGTGGCTAGTCTTGGAGTGAGAGGTCCTCATCTTAAGTGAGAAAGCTCAGGAATATGTTCAAAATCTCTTTATAAAAAAGATCTGTAAATTCTACCTTTTTATCAGAATTCTCATTGTCAAGCAATGCTTTCATAAATTCAAATACCTATATCTTAATTCCCTGTTCAAAAGAATAGAGTACATGATAAGCTAATCTTTTAATGAATGGATAACCTTCTCTTTTCTATTCATCACTTAAGATAAAAGCTCTTATACTAATTGAAGGGGCTTATGTAATTATATTCATCAAGATTTCAATTGAGTTAATTTTCAAGAGATCTATCTTCTTAATGTCGTATTTATCATGAAATTTCAGAAAATCTTAAATGTATTGCTTAACCTTCTCTTATGATTGTTAAAACATTGTAATCTCTTTGTTGTGCATCAACTAATCAATCAAATTATCTTAGTCTTTTAGAGCCTCAGCTTTTAATGTTTTTGCATCAGGCCTGTATATATTGAATGTCTCTGCAAGTATTTCGATTAGGTTGAAGGAGTTAATTGTTTCGAAGTAGGAAAATCTGGCGTTAAGTTAGAGGTTCTTTGACAATTAGCATACTTCCATAAAAAATTCAATTGCATCATGCTTAACTGCAAGATCTGAATGTGATCTCATCTTTTAAAGCAACTCTACTAAAATTTCTTTATTATAGAAGATATGGTTCACGATATCCTATGATTTTACGTAAATCAAAGAATTTATATTCGAGAGGACTTGATCATCAATGAACCTAGCTATTGCTGTGTCTTTCAAATAAGTCAATCTATAAGCTAAATGGATTGAGTCCAGAATCTGATCGTCTTCAATTTTTACTACTTGCTTAAATTTGAGCTCATTAGTCAGGAATTCTCTGTGTTTTAATATCTATCCCTATTGCTAAAGATTCTAGTCTTGATTTTGAAACTCATTCACATCACTGTTTCTTCTGTTTTAGTTGCTAGGACTCTATCCTTATATAACTTCTGGATCGTCTATATGGCATAAAATATTAAAAACTTACATTCAAGAGCACCAAGAGTCACCATAAAAAAATCTTTAGATAAAAGAGTCTCTATTAACTTTGTGTCATTCAACGATAGTAGAGCCTTAAAAAAGTGGAACATATAAAATAAATATTCTTAAGCATCAAGTTCCTCAGCCTTTTCAAACAGATTTTGTATTCTTCTCAAATATTAACACTAAACATAAAATATTAAATAATTGTTAAATGATAATGGATGATGTGGAATGATATTAAAAATAATCTAGCTTACATTTTCAGCGACTAGTAGAGAACTGATTTTGCGTTTTCTAATTATATCAAGGTTACTTTGCAATTCTTCAACTATTTGTGATATATTCTCAAAAGTTGGAGGGGGTAATTCATCTTCCTCAAGTTGTTGTTCGGTCTAATATCCCTCATTAGGATCCTTGCCTTGAATAATACAAATGGAGTCCCTATTAGTAATTTTAAGTAAAAAAGCAATTTATTTACCATGTTTCCTGAGCACCCTTGCTGTCTTGAAAACTTAATGCAAAATCGATCATGTCTTTGTCATAGAGCCAGGTAATTATTGTGTCTGTAAGAAATTAATAATATTGAGATATACCTCTCTATCTTTGCAAACTGGATGATGAACTTATCTTCATTCTTAAAAGCTCAGTCTCCTTATCAACTTCATTGATGAGCTGCATATAGTACTCTCCGTCTATCTTCTATTATAATAATGTTTAAACTAGAGTGATTTACATCTTTAATGAGTGAAAACTCTCCTGTTCCATAGTCGTCCCATGATCCTTAGTGATTCAATTGGTATAATTTTGCTCTCCACTTGCTTTAAGAGATGCTAGTCATATTTTATCCAGAAAATGAGATGTCATGTAGTAAACTAGATCCCCCCTCATCTAATTCATAGTATCGTTACTTGTTTTTGTGCTTTGGGATTTTATTAGCTCCTGAGTTCATCATATCTACAACTGAATCTTCATCTTCCAAAGGACTAAAGCCTCTGCTGTTCACCATTCTCTCATTATAGCTCTGACTTATCCCTCTTTCACTACTATTTTTGCCGCCAATCAAACTTCCAGGATGTTCTTCGTCTGATCTGAGCTCGTCTTCTAGTAAGTCTGAGTTAATCAGGTGATGGTCAGCATGATCGGCGTTATTCATGCAATTTTTGAAGATATCCTGCAGTAGCTAGTCCTGTTGCTCATCTTCCTGAGGTTATTATTCATATTCGTTGGAGTTTTTCATACTAGTATTTAATGATAAATGATCGGTATGTAGGGTTTATATAAATAAATAATAAAAATCAAGCAGCCTTTTATAGCAAACAATACTTATAATATTTTTACGAGCGCTCTCATCCAATCATTTTATAATATTTACCAATTATTATTTTTAGTAGACTGCTTTATTGAAATAAATTTCATCACTGAGGGGTTTTGGGGTTTTGGGGAGATCGGAA